AGTGTAGACAGCTTAGATTTGTTTTGCGCAAAAAAGCCCCGATCGCGAAAATGGCGATCGGGACTTTTTTGCGGAAAAGCGCGTCTAGATTGGCACAGACGCTTTTCTGCAAAAAGTGCTTTTGCGGAAAAGCGTCTGTGCCAATCTAGATGTTCTTTTCGGCAAATGCTTTTAACGGAAAATTTTCCCGTTAAAAGCATTTGCGGAAAAGAGCATCTAGATTGGCACGGACACTTTTCTGCAAAAGCACTAGACGCGGTTTTGTGCAAGAAAGCCCCGATCACCATTTTCGCCATTGGGGCTTTTTTGCGCAAAACAGTTTTTAGCTGTCTACACTGGCCCTCTTGCGCAAAAACATTTCCGGAAAAGGGCTTTTGCCCGAACGGGAGCAGCAGAGTATTTGCGCAAGAAGCACTGATTTCAGACAGTAGAAAGTCAATGCTTTTGCGCAAAATCAAGCGGCCAGTGTAGACAGCTGGCAAGTTTTTCCGCAAAAGCAGCCGCTTTTGCGGAAAAACTTGCCAGCCTAGACGCAGCCGTGTTGATCAGATTCTTTAAAACTAAGTATGTTCAACTGGTTTCTTATGTAACTGTTTTCACTTTGAATAATGTTCCTTAGAATAATGCCTTAGACCAATGAAAGATCTTCAGATAATGTATAAAAATTATCATCTAAGGCCAAATCTATCTCTGAGTTATGTACAAGAACTTCTTGTGTGCATGCTCTTTCTAGCAGATAGCAGCTTCCTACAAGTGGATATAGGGCAATGTTTTAAAACCCTATATACATCGAGAAATACATGAGTAACAAACAAGCAGTCATTTTTCTGTATGATGGTCCAAACATGAGTAACCCGATTCAGATTTCCTAATGTATTATGCAAATATAGAGCCCTAAAAAAGGAGTCTTTACCAATGAACCCAGATGATTGAGACTAGAACATACTTAGCAGTGGCAGGTACACTAGAATTTCAGTTATATTTTATAATATATGTAATTTATATAATCTCCTACCCTACACAGCAAGTGTTAGAACATAAAAACAGCCAAACTGTATCAGACAAAAGGTCCGTCTAGCCCAGTGTCCTGTCTTCCAAAAGTGGCCAATGCCAGATGCCCCAGAGGGAGTGATACCACTGTATGAAGAAAAACTTCCTTTTTGTTTGTTTTAAACCTGCTACCTATTAATTTCACTTGGTGACCCCTAGTTCTTATGTTATGGGAACAAGTAAATAACTTTTCCTTATTCATTTTCTCTACAACAGTCATAATTTTATAATCTCTATCATATCCCCCCATAGTCAACTCTTTTCCAAGCTGAAGAGTCCCAGTCTTTTTAATCTCTCTTTATACGGGACCCGTTCCAAACCCCTCATAATTTTTGTTGCCCTTTTCTGAACCTTTTTCAATGCCAATATATCTTTTTTGAGAGAGGCAACCACATCCATGTGCAGTATTCAAGATGTGGATGTACCATGGATTTATATAGAGGCAATAAGATATTCTCTGCTTTATTCACTTTATCCCATTTTTAATTATTACTAATATTCTGTTTTCTTTTTTGACTGCTGCTGCACATTCAGTGGATGTTTTCAGAGAACTATCCATCATGATTCCAAGATCTCTCTCTTGAGTAGTTGTAGCTAAATTAGTCCCCATCGTTTGGCATGTATAGTTGGGATTATTTATTCCAATGTGCATTACTTTTCATTTATCAACAAGTGGGCTATGTCTAGACTGGCACGATTTTCCGCAAATGCTTTTAGACGCGGTTTTGTGCAAGAAAGCCCCGATCGCCATTTTCACCATCGGAGCTTTTTTGCGCAAAACGGTTTTCAGTTGTCTACACTGGCTTGCTTTTGCGCAAGAGGGCTTTTTCCCGAACGGGAGAGTCATTGTATTTGCGGAAGAACACTGACAATCATACATTAGATCGTCAGTGTTCTTGCGCAAATTCAAAGTGGCCAGTGTAGACAGCTGGCAAGTTTTTCCGCAAAAGCAGCCGCTTTTGCGGAAAAACTTGCCAGCCTAGACGCAGCCGTGTTGATCAGATTCTTTAAAACTAAGTATATTGCACTGGTTTCTTATGTAACTGTTTTCACTTTGAATAATGTGCCTTAGAATAATGCCTTAGACCAATGAAAGATCTTCAGATAATGTATAAAAATTATCATCTAAGGCCAAATCTATCTATGTACTCTTGCATTTCCAAACAGTGATGTCAGTGTTGGATTAAATGGTCATTATTTATAAGACATTTTAGGTTGTTTTTTTTAACTCTTTCTGTCTGGAATACAAAAAAGAGCAGTGATTTTGTGTGAGTTCTCATTGCTCTCCAACTGAAGACCAGTGCAGCTGGCAGCAATATGAGTAAACCATAGAAGAAGGTACAGCAACAAGAAATACTGTAAATATGAAGGATTTCATGAATTTTGTGTTGAATTTCTGTGTTGTTGAGAGCAATTTTCATAGTTACAAAACTATGGCACAAAACAGGGCACTCCACAGTAAACACAAACTCATCAAAATGGTCTGTCAAAATCAGCACCTCATATTTTCCATGGGCCAATGGCACCAAATTCAGGCCAAGTTTACACTTAAGTCATGTTGGCATAGCTGGGACACTCAGGAATGTGAAAATACAGTAGCATAAGGAAAAAATAATTTATTTCTTATTTTGTTCACAAGGCAAGTTTTCTGTCTCAGCTGATCCTTGAGTATGAGGTAGTGGGAGAGTTGGGGCTTGGATAAACTGGTGGGTCTGCAGCCTATTCCCTATTCTGCAGAACATAGAGGAGCAATGGCTCTGCTTGTAAGCTGCCTAATCAGCAGAGAGGAAGAAAAGTTGACTGGAGTACCATGTAGCTTGAACAGCTGTGAATCAGCTGTTCCTGGCATTCCAGCTCTGGCAGGGCAAGGGAGGAGCAGGGGTGGAGCACATATCAGGCCATTTGCACGTTTTGAAAGTATTGGGGGGGAGGGGGAGGGCTTAGAAGTGCAGGGCTTTGATGCCCCAGGGCACCAGAGGCACATGGGGGTGATGGATAGCTGGAGAGACCGCAGTCCACAGATGGAGCCACAGGTAGCCAACCACCAACTTAAAGCATAGTTCAGTAGTATTTTAGAGATATAGAGTGCCCCCCTGAAAATAAGTCCAGAATGTCTACTGATTAAAACCAGTTCAGGATTTCACTAGTATTACAGTTTATAGCTAAGTTTTGACATGAATCAGATGGACAAGTAAGTTGCCATTCAAATCCATCCGTTCACAAAATCAAATCTTACATAGATTTAAGTGTTATCTCTTTGGGCTGATCCCAGTTCAACCAACAGAAAAATGCCTTCTGCCTACCTAACAATTCTGCTTAGCACATACCTATTAGGGTTGAAAATAACCAGTGAAAAGTTGGAGGTAGTTGCTTGATGCTGTGGTTTCATTTACATCTCCACTTGCCTTTATTATGGAGCAGTTGTTTGCCTCACCAGGGACTACGATGGAGACATGGATTTGAGGTCCTGAGTTAAGTGAAGTTTCAATTCATGGTTTGCTTTACTAAGATTTTGTGCAATTTACTTTGAAGTATCCAGATATGTGGACAGTGAAACAAAACAAATGTACCTTTTTTCTTTGTATTAGTATTTAGTGAATGTTAAAGCAAACTGTTTCTTTAATTGCAGAACTAAAATCCCACAATTAAACAATTAGTAGCAATGTGTGAGCTAGTGATTTATGGGACATTCTACACAAGGATCAAATTGTCCTCAGCTTAGTAAGGCTGTAATGTGATTTCTAGCCTGAGCAGGTTTTGACTCAATAACAGTTAAACATTGTTTTTGTAACCAGATGAAAAGTAGTGCATGTCATGTACTTCAGTATGCCTCAACTTACTGCTTATTGAATATAGTGTGTACTTCCTTTGGAATCTCATTGTAGGATAAGATGTCCTAATTATTTGATGTATTTGGTTCTCAATTTCAAATGACATTTTTGCTTTTGCATAAAAACACAAACTTTTGTCTTATTTTAGCTTCAACCGGCATTCTTCCACCTCCATCAGCTACCAGTCAAAAAAGAGGTATAAAATATTGTCTTTTGCAGCTACTACACATTAATAGTACCTAATGCGCCACTTTAATGCTACTAGTAAACTCGTAGTGAACTATTAACCTAAAAGTGATGTAATTAAAATGTTACTTCTTTTCCTGTTTTCAAACATTTTATTTAATTCAATGTCTCTCACGTGTCTGTTACAAATCCATTAATCTAAAATCGGGCATTTTCGGTGCGTTTCAGACATTTTATCATTTTACTTTACCATTAAACCATTGTCAATCATCAGAATATCTTTGGTCACTTACTTAACCACTCTTTATTTCTGCAGCAAAAATTACAGTTGGTAGAGCTTCCCAAAGCTGATTTGGCTTCACTAAAACACTTATAATGATGTATCTCTGTGCTTTATTTCTGTTTTACAGGAGTCTTTTAGTCTCCATCACTAAAACTGATCTGCATTCTCACTTTGGTTATCTTTGTAAACAGTTCCACACTTGGTTACTGAATTCAGTGGTGCTCTTGGTGTTTTAGACATTTTTTTTATTTACTCCAATTGATTTTCTTTCTAGCAGATAGCAGCTTCCTACATAAGGATATAGGGCAATGTTTTAAAACCCTATATACATCGAGAAATACATGAGTAACAAACAAGCAGTCATTTTTCTGTATGATGGTCCAAACATGAGTTACCCGATTCAGATTTCCTAATGTATTATGCAAATATAGAGCCCTAAAAAAGGAGTCTTTACCAATGAACCCAGATGATTGAGACTAGAACATACTTAGCAGTGGCAGGTACACTAGAATTTCAGTTATATTTTATAATATATGTAATTTATATAATCTCCTACCCTACACAGCAAGTGTTAGAATATAAGAACAGCCAAACTGTATCAGACAAAAGGTCCGTCTAGCCCAGTGTCCTGTCTTCCAAAAGTGGCCAATGCCAGATGCCCCAAAGGGAGTGATACCACTGTGTGAAGAAAAACTTCCTTTTTGTTTGTTTTAAACCTGCTACCTATTAATTTCACTTGGTGACCCCTAGTTCTTATGTTATGGGAACAAGTAAATAACTTTTCCTTATTCATTTTCTCTACAACAGTCATAATTTTATAATCTCTATCATATCCCCCCATAGTCAACTCTTTTCCAAGCTGAAGAGTCCCAGTCTTTTTAATCTCTCTTTATACGGGACCCGTTCCAAACCCCTCATAATTTTTGTTGCCCTTTTCTGAACCTTTTTCAATGCCAATATATCTTTTTTGAGAGAGGCAACCACATCCATGTGCAGTATTCAAGATGTGGATGTACCATGGATTTATATAGAGGCAATAAGATATTCTCTGCTTTATTCACTTTATCCCATTTTTAATTATTACTAATATTCTGTTTTCTTTTTTGACTGCTGCTGCACATTCAGTGGATGTTTTCAGAGAACTATCCATCATGATTCCAAGATCTCTCTCTTGAGTAGTTGTAGCTAAATTAGTCCCCATCGTTTGGCATGTATAGTTGGGATTATTTATTCCAATGTGCATTACTTTTCATTTATCAACAAGTGGGCTATGTCTAGACTGGCACGATTTTCCGCAAATGCTTTTAGACGCGGTTTTGTGCAAGAAAGCCCCGATCGCCATTTTCACCATCGGAGCTTTTTTGCGCAAAACGGTTTTCAGTTGTCTACACTGGCTTGCTTTTGCGCAAGAGGGCTTTTTCCCGAACGGGAGAGTCATTGTATTTGCGGAAGAACACTGACAATCATACATTAGATCGTCAGTGTTCTTGCGCAAATTCAAAGTGGCCAGTGTAGACAGCTGGCAAGTTTTTCCGCAAAAGCAGCTGCTTTTGCGGAAAAACTTGCCAGCTGTCTACACTGGCCACTTTGAATTTGCGCAAGAACACTGACGATCTAATGTATGATTGTCAGTGTTCTTCCGCAAATACAATGACTCTCCCGTTCGACAGATCCCCCTCTAGACAGCCGCTTTTTGCGGACAACGTGCTGAGTTGGCAAAATGTTCAGATAATGTATAAAAATTATCATCTAAGGCCAAATCTATCTATGTACTCTTGCATTTCCAAACAGTGATGTCAGTGTTGGATTAAATGGTCATTATTTATAAGACATTTTAGGTTGTTTTTTTTAACTCTTTCTGTCTGGAATACAAAAAAGAGCAGTGATTTTGTGTGAGTTCTCATTGCTCTCCAACTGAAGACCAGTGCAGCTGGCAGCAATATGAGTAAACCATAGAAGAAGGTACAGCAACAAGAAATACTGTAAATATGAAGGATTTCATGAATTTTGTGTTGAATTTCTGTGTTGTTGAGAGCAATTTTCATAGTTACAAAACTATGGCACAAAACAGGGCACTCCACAGTAAACACAAACTCATCAAAATGGTCTGTCAAAATCAGCACCTCATATTTTCCATGGGCCAATGGCACCAAATTCAGGCCAAGTTTACACTTAAGTCATGTTGGCATAGCTGGGACACTCAGGAATGTGAAAATACAGTAGCATAAGGAAAAAATAATTTATTTCTTATTTTGTTCACAAGGCAAGTTTTCTGTCTCAGCTGATCCTTGAGTATGAGGTAGTGGGAGAGTTGGGGCTTGGATAAACTGGTGGGTCTGCAGCCTATTCCCTATTCTGCAGAACATAGAGGAGCAATGGCTCTGCTTGTAAGCTGCCTAATCAGCAGAGAGGAAGAAAAGTTGACTGGAGTACCATGTACGTGGCCAAGTTAACCGGTAAAGGTTCTGGAAAGATCCAATGAGGAGTCAAGTGGACAGCAGCCCTTGTTTGTAAACACTGTTCAGCAGATATTGCCTGGGATAGCACAGGGAAATTGGCTCCAGATGAGACGCTATAGCTGAACATTTGCAAGCAGACAGCTCTAAAGCCTTCTGGGACCACTGCAGTTCTTGAGACTTCAGTAATCGGGAACATTCCTCAGGAGCACTAGACCTAAATCAGAGAAGGCCCCTGTGTTAGAATGAGCTGTCTGGGCTACAGAATCTCAGACCTATTGGCCCAGCCACTGAAGCCAGCCAAGCGCTTTGTCCTTCCCCCAGAGACAGTCTTCTGCAACTTCATTGGGGACAGGGAAGGAGGAAACGCTGCTGGGTTCATCTGTTTCCCTCAGTGAGTCCCATGGCTCAGGCATCCCCCTAGCATACTGTTTCCCTTTGGAAGCATTTAATAAAACAAATCCTCAGTGCCCACACTTGTGCAACATTCAAGACCACAGAAAAGTGTGTGTGCTTGTATTTAAGGGTATGTCTAGACTGCATCCCTCTGTCGGCAGAGGGGTGCAGATTAGGCAGGTCGACATTGCAAATGAGGCAGAGATTTAAATATCTTGTGCCTAATTTGCAGAAAAATGGCCGCCATGTTTTGCCGACTCAGCACTTTGTTGGCAAAAAGCGGCTGTCTAGAGGGGGATCTGTCGTGAAAGAAAGCCTTTTTTGACAGATCCCGTAAACCTCCTTGCAGGAGGCATAAGGGATCGGTTGAAAAAGGCTTTTCTTTTTCAACAGATCCCCCTCTAGACAGCCGCTTTTTGCGGACAACGTGCTGAGTCGGCAAACCGCGGCGGCCATTTTTCTGCAAATTAGGCACGAGATATTTAAATCCCTGCCTCATTTGCAATGTCGACCTGCCTAATCTGCATCCCTTTGCAGACAGAGGGATTCAATCTAGACATACCTTAAATGCACATACACTAATCCACATGTAAGTGCCAGATTTTAGTGTTCCCATGTAGAGGTTGTGTGTGTACACTAGGGATGTAAAAGATGAACCAGTTGGTTAACCCAGAAGTCTCACCCTTAGTGGCGGGCCCAGCTGGCCCTTCCCTGTCCTTTCACCCCATGTAACCGACTGGTTCCTGGGAAGCTGGCTGTAGAGCTCATAGCAAAGCCTCACTAGGAGTGACTGCCAGCCCTGCTCCCGGGAAGGCTTTGCTGTGGGCTCTGCATTATAAAGTTTAAATAAACTTTATACTGGAGAGCCCACAGCATGTATCCTTGTAACCTCTAGGAGTTTTAGTTGTTAGACAGTTATATTTTTAAACACATTTTTACATCCCTAATGCACACAAATAAGGTGTTATATGAAAGTATCTGAATTTGGGCACCTACATAGCTGCAGCCACTCTTTTGACAATCTGGTTTTACAGAATAAGTAGAATAAGGCAAAACATATGCCATGAAAAATGTTCTTCAGTGAAATGTATCTATTTTTGAGGTCGTCTGACATTTAATGTTTCTTAAAAACAGCATGATCAAGAAGATGGAGTAAGCATATGCCTGGGAACCTTAATCCCATTTATTCCATGGGCTGTCCTAATAAAAATTTATCTCTTATCCCAGTGTAATGGTAGGATTTTGCAAATTGCACTCAGCTCTTCTAAATTAAAGTAAAAAGTTTGCCAGTGTGAAGACCCCATAAATCTAAGCTGCAAATAATTCTGCTGTTTACTATAATCAACCTGAAGCTCATCACCTGAACTGTAACAAACGTGGGGTGCTGCAACAATTGTTATGGAGGTGCTAAGGGCCATTAAACCAAACTATAAACCCTGTAGGTGATGGAAACCACTTATGAGCTGAGATAAACCCCGTGGGCATGATTTTTCTTCATTACAGTCCTTCAATGATGCTGTTTGGAATTCTTCAAAGAGTTTCTCAATCCAGGAGCATAAGAGAGAGAATACATAATTGCAAATCAGAGGCTTTTGGGACCCTCCAAATTTGAAAATTAGAAAAATAAATGAATAGATTATTATCTTCAACCTACACCTGGAAAAGGACTTGTTTCAGAAATTAGATCTATTTTTCTCTCTGCCTTGTAAAGGGCAAGTGCTTGGTCCCACTTAAAAAAGGTGGGTAACCAGTTCTTATAATTCATGTCAATCCCTAAATTTTATTTCTAATTCTGCTCTGATTTAAATCAATAGCAAAATACCCACTTATTTCAATGAGACGAGGATAATCTTCTTTGTAGGCACTAGGCAAATGGACCATGAATCTCATTTTCAGATCCCTGAAACAATCAATCCTAGCTACATACAATTTTCCTCCAGTTGGTCACACTCAAAACTAGAGATTGATTAGGATTCCTGTTTGGTTAGTTCTCCCAACCAAAGGGACTAATTCCATATAAGTGCCAATGCTAAAGATACACTGACAGCAGGCTCTTTTTTCCTCATTACATTTGTTTTTAAAGCAGTTATGATAATGCCAGTGATAGGAGCTGCACTGCAGTCTTCATCATAGTAACTGCAAAGGCTAAAGAATCTCACATTCTTCTTTCTGTGGCTTTAAGGAAGCATCCCTTGGAGTGGTATGGAAGCTGACTAATCTCTTGATTTCTTAATTTGCTGCTCTTGGTGTCTGTAAAGTAGCTCACAGCTGTGCTTTTTTTTAGAGGTACGGGCCAGTCCTACACATCAACACCAGTCCCCCAAGGTACTGCTCCTTCCGCAGGCTACAGTGAAAGTCCAGTTCCTGCTCCAAAACCAAGAGTTGTCACTACTGCTAGCATAAGGCCCTCCGTCTACCAGCCAGGTAAGGTGATCTCAAAGAGGTGAAAGGGTCCATACCAATATCCAGTACCGGTAGCTTTTTATGCAGAAAATGCAAGGCCTGTTTGCACACAAAGGACCATATTTTGTTGGTCATATTAGAAGTAGTGAATTTGTTCTGCCTGATTTCAAACCCACTCTAACATTGTGATTTCTGTATTATGTTGGGTTTCCATTCTGCTTATAAGGGATTGTCAAAGAAAAGGGCCTTAGGGAAGGAGAAAGGAGGAGGGACAAGGCTAACAAGAAACAGTGACCTAAATTTCCCAATATGATGCAAGCTGTGCACCTAATAAGGAACTTAAGGGAACTAAAGTGCACTTGAACATTGATAATAGGGTTTACTATGCTAGGCCCCCTGTAGACTTAAATGTGTAAGTGAAACAAAGGAGAGATGTCTTAATCTATGACACTCTGATTAATGGTGAGAATATAGTTGCAAAATTGATAAGACCATAAATTGAGTTTCTCACACTTCGTTCCATGTGTAAAGAATTATGTTTATTGCAAAGCATTTTTGTTTGCAATTATTTCCTCCCCATTCCTTACAAATTTCATTCTAATATTCTTAATATTAATTGTTTAATATTCATGCATTACAAGTAGAGCAAATTAACCACAAAACTCCAAAACCAACCATAACTAAATATGTTTAGCCCCAATTGAACAAATTCAACACTATATAAACATAATTACCAATAAAAATCCTACTGATATCCATCCCGGTAATGCATGCTTATTTCAGTTAACACACTTATTGTCCTTTTGTCAAGTGAACTTCAAGGAAGATTTACATCTTCCAGAAATAAGAAAAAAAAGAAAAGTCTGCCTAATATGCCTATAAATCCCAAGAGTCCTCCAGTGTCCTCATCCATTCTAATGTTCTGAGAGAGAAGAGAAGGTGTCTTCAATTAAGAGGGAAGAGGGGCAAAAGGCTCTCCTGGGGAGGTATAGAAACAATATAACCCAGCTAATACCCGACATATTTTAGACTATTTGAGAAACTATTTCATCCTTGGTCTCAATATCATTAACAATAAAGCTTTAAACTTCTACTAATTTTGTTCTTTATTACATATGTCAGTCCATATTCGCTCACCATAGGATAGGAATAACTTCTGTTGAAGCCAGTGAGAGTTACTGTTGTCTCCTCAAATAAGAAAAAGATCCCCCATTGCTTGCTTAAAGAATGAGTGAATCTATTCCCATAATAGGGATGAGAGGACCGAGAAGAAACCTAAAAACATCTCTGAGAAATCTGATGAGAGGCTGGGACTAATCCTATGAACCCTGAGGACCCAGGACTCCCATTAATGTAAATGAGTTTCAGAAGCCATTGCTGGTGTGGGTGGGCCCTAAATTAGGTGTACAAATGGGCAGAGGGATGCCTTTATTTTCTATTGGCACTGCATACTTATGTTGCAGTTCTGCAACTAACTGTGTTTGTGCAGCATTGCCCCAACTGCAGACTTAAAATGTGAACTTTGAAATTCGGGCCTGTGTGTGTGTCTGCCACTTTTTATGCACCCATTTCAAATCTTCATCTTGTCTATGTATATTATTCCCTGGGTACTATAGAAGCAGAGGGTCCCCCTGAAGGCAGGAGGAATTCAGAGCCAACCTTCAGAATTTTCATTAGCTGTTAGTGGAAAAAAGAGTAAAACGCAAATTGTGGGTTTGTTAATATCTGATTCATAACCCCCTTCCCCACCCTGCTCCAAAGTGATTTCAGATGCAAGAGGGATTATCTTTAACAGAAAAGAATAGAAAGTGGTTAGGCCAAAGGCGATTGATTTTAGTCGCTCTACAAGAGATTTCTGCTACGTAATGTGGTGGCAACGAAAGACTGGATTTCTAGATATAAATTGGTGCTACAGGCAGGAGATCTGGGGCACATCTACACTGCAGGGCAAAAGTCGAATTAAGATACTTAACTTCAGCCACATCAATTGCGCAGCTGAAGTCAAAATAGCTTAATTTGGCTTTGGGCGCTGTCTATACAGCAGGAAGTCGAAGAAAGAACACTCTTCCTTTGACTTCCCTTACTCCTTGTGAACTGCGGGTTACAGGAGTCGGAATAAGAAGTCCTCCATCTCATAGCCAGCAGGGCTGCATACACATTTTCACCTGCCCTCAGCCAGGATCTCTGGTGGTGGATGCTGTGAATCGGAGGAAGCCCAGACCCCACTCCCAAAAAGGAGGCTAAAGTGCTAGATGTGTTTGGCCGTAAGGTATATTCCACTGAAGGTCTCCAGCTCAGGGTGTCAAACCAACAGGTGCTCCCTAGCTTCAACTCCTGGAATGCTTTTTGAAAGTCCAGGAGCTCCTGCCTTTGGAGGCGAGACAGGAATTTGCAGTGCTGGTGCAGGAGGACCACGCAGTATCTTAGACAGCGCCGCAGATGGTCCTGGATGCAGCAGACTCAGCAGCCCATACAGTGGCCACAGGAATTGCCATGAGGCATTGTGATCGGGCACTTCGGCCCCTCACTGTAGAACAGCTGGGCCCAGCTGGCTGAAAGCACCCTTCCCCCGCAGCCTTGCCGGGCATGCTCAATCGTGAGCAGGAGTATAAAAGGCCCTGAGGCAGCTCACTCAGGGCTGACTGCCAAAGATGAAGTACCTGAAGAGCGAGCTCCAGAGTGAAAAGAGCCAATGCAGCCAGACCTAACGCAGCAGCTCTTACAGCCCCAGCCATAACTGCCACAGCCCCAGCGACAACCCCAGACCCGGAGACAGGCTGGAGGTATGGCAGTGGAGAGACATGTGGAATGATAGGAACAGACCCAGGGTGGGGAATTGAAACCCCGAGTGCTCAGCATGTTGCAAGGAGGGAACCCCCTATAGCAAGCAGTGGTTCAAGCCACTGCCCTTAGTGCCCTGGGCTGGGACCTGGTGGAGTGGGAGGGCCTGGGTCTTCTACCCCTCCCTCTGCAGTGCTCCGGAACAGAAGAAGGTCCAGAAGCCGGTGGACTAGGCCTCAGGGCCATATTTACCTCCAAGAGAGGGGCCAGCTGCAAAGACTGAGCTGTGGGGCCGTATTGACTCTGACAGGGGCGTCGAAGACTCAGACCCCAGCCATTGGACTACGCAGACCTGGACAGGGGGACCTGCGGGGGATTTTAACTGTGAGACCCTGCACAAGGGGGACATGCCCCTCCACAGGTGTAATTCATGGTTGCAGATGTCTGACCTCCCACCAGGAGTGTGTGTCGCCTCAGGCTGCTCCAGCCGTGGCTGGCATCAGTGTTTATGCCATCCAGGGAGCCAGTCAACTGAGGAGTCACCATGCCGCCAGCAATTCTGCACTCTCTGGAGTGATGGACACGGCCCCAGAGAGTATGTGGGGGGGCCCATTCACGGGTCTGCAGCCAGAGGTCACACTGGTGATGGATGCCTCAGACGCAAGGAAGGTGTGAACCTGAGCAATGTGGGCATGCAAGGCTTAAGGTCCACTCTGGAGATGGGTTGTATCCCCGTGTGAGAACTCAGGGAGGTTCAGCTGACTTGCCACATGCTCCCACTGTAGTTGAAGGGCAGGCATGTGCTGGTGAGGATGGTCAGTAACCATGGCAATGTTTCATACCACAGGACAGGGTGGCACTCGCTCTTCTCCCCTGGGGTTAGGAGGCCATTGCCCTGTGGGACCTCTGCACCTCCCATGATATCCACCTGCTGGCCTCATACCTACTGGGAAGTAGAATGACCTTGTGGATCACCTCAGCCAGCCCTTTCAGTCCCACGAGTGGTCTCTTCGAGCAGATGTCACTCTCTCCATCTTCTGTGAATGGGGTCGTCCCAAGGTGGACCTGTTTATGGCCTGTCTAAACCGGAAGTGCAAACAATTCTGCTCCTTCCAGGAGTATGGCAGGGGCTCACTCTCAGATGCTTTTCGCCTGATGTGAACAGAGCAGTTGCTCTACGCATTCCCCTGGTGCCACTAATTCCCAGGGTCCTCCTCAGAATTCAACAGGACAAAGCAGCAGTCATCTTGATCATGCTGGCATGGTGAGGCAACATTGGTTCACTATATTCGGGGTGCCCTGGCCCCAGCCCTGCTGACCCAGGAGTTCGGCAGGCGATGCCACCGGGCTGAACTGCCTCTAGCTCCAGAGTATGGACTCAGGCAGGGAGGTTCTAACGGGTAGTCATAAGTCTTCCACCAGAGCGACACAGCTAGCTAAATACTACAGGTTCTCCCTGGGGTGCCTCACTAGGATATGTCCCCCTGCAACAGCCTCGGTCCCGCTGCTCCTAGACTGCCTCCTTTACTGAAAGCAGCAGGTTTTGGCCATCTCCTCTATTAAGCTATCTCTACCTTCCATCTGGGGTCTTGGCCGACATCTATTAAGTGACTGAACCAGCTCTACCCTCAGGTGCAACAGCCTTTGCCCTCTTGGGACCTAGTTACAAAGGTAAGTAACAAATCTCTCCAGCTAGAACCCCTTTTGACAAGTGAGCTTTGTGGTTCTCTATAAAAGCCACTAGGTGGCAGGAAATGCCTAATTCTTTCCCTTTCATCTTTAATTTTCAAGAGTAGATCAGTGCGTGCCTGTAAAGAGCATCTCTAGGCCAATCTTTTATTCTACAAACCAGTGAGGTAATTGAGAGCAGTAAAAGGTAAAGGAGCTCCTGTGACTTTTATTCTACAAACCAGTGAGGTAATTGAGAGTAGTAAAAGGTAAAGGAGATCTTTCCTTTTAGCTCCTGTGATCACATGGGATTACTTTCACATGTGTAAAGTCATTCACGTGTGCGTGCAGGACTGAGGTTGTAAACGTTCAGGGCAGGAACGGTAATTTGCTGTGTGTGAGCAGGGCTGGATTATGAAAAGAGCATTAACAGAGCAGTTGCTCTACGCATTCCCCTGGTGCCACTAATTCCCAGGGTCCTCCTCAGAATTCAACAGGACAAAGCAGCAGTCATCTTGATCATGCTGGCATGGTGAGGCAACATTGGTTCACTATATTCGGGGTGGGACCAG